TATTCATAAATAGTTGCACATATGATGGACACTTATCTGCTGTTTCTTGTGCGCTGTGAATTGCTCTAACATGCTTAGGGAACTCTGAGAGGACCAGATATTCCAGTTCAGAGCTTCCTTGCATCAACTCATTGAAAAGGAGCTGCAGCACAGCGGAGGACTGGGTCATACAACTTTCGACTCTTGACTATTGCTCAGAAAACGTATCAATCTGATGATTCAAGTTGGCAAAAATAAACATGAATGCTTACAGAATGACGGCTTTTCTACACTGTCCCAAGCAGGCTCTACTGGTCCATTTTCAACCGTTAGGTTAAATGTGTTAATACCACTTGGCAATGAGAAGGTTCAGCTATATATAGCTCCACTGTGACTCTCAACAGTTGGGTCCCACAGTCAAACCTACCAGCAGATAAATACACCGGCTTTAACTGGTATTGCTCAAAAGATATTCTTCCCACTCAGCTGTTTCTGAAAAATGCTATTGGTATTTTTAAAAAAGCATGTTTCCAAGTACATTGAAGTGTCCAGTATTGCAGTCATTTTCTGCATTTGTTCTGGACAGCTAACTCTGTAAAATGAATCTTAGACAAAAGTGAAATAAAAAGACCAGCGATTATGTTTCAGCAGAGCACTTTAACATATGCTTAAAATAAAACTTTGAAGTAATTTCAAAACTTCACAAACTCCACCAAGTCAGAATTCTAAACTGGGGTTTACTGTTTTAATCAAAGTCCCTGTGAAGACTGGAGAAAAAAAAATTCCTTGATTTTAACAGTGGAAACAATCTCTTCTGAACATTAATAATGACCTAATGGCAATCAAGACTCTAAGAAATTTATCCTGTTTCTGCTAAAAAGTGTGGTTTTACCACTACAAAAACATAGAGCATGAATGAGACAAAGCACAGCATCTATCATAAGGCAAATCACATAATTTTAGCAAATTGCCTCTACCACACATTCCTGTACTACTTCTGCTCTTCTCCCCTTCCTGTTTCCTCAAGTTTAGAACATTTAGAAAGATTTTTAGAATTAGGCTTCCAAGAAAAAAGTAATCAGGAAAATACTAATGAATTTTCAAGAATCAGCATTTTAAGGGTCAGTATATAAAGCTACTTTGTGAAGTGGCTTGCTTTAAACGTAAATGTTCCACTGGAAGGAAGATCATGTTTTGCGATCCTGGAAATGAGGCTTTCACTCATGCTTGAAATCGTTCCGTTATCAAACCCCATTAAAAGGGTTCCATAAATGTGTATAGAATAAAAAAAACCCAAAACAATTAACAGTATAGAAGTTCATTTAGAGTTACAAAAAGCAACTGTAACTAAATACATTCTCTCACAGCTCACCGAGTGACGAAGTCAGTTGTCACTGCAGCAATTAATTTTTAATGGTGAAATTACAACCTGCTTTGTGATACGTCATGTGGTCACTAGCAATACTAAAACATTTAAGAAGAAGCATTGAAACTACACAAGCTCTCCATGATAATCCTCAGGTCTTTTTGTTCTGTTTTTAAGGCCAAAGAATTTGCAATCATACAGCACATAAAACACTCCAGACATTGACTTTGAGAGAAAAATTTTTAACACAGTTCTTCAGTAGTTACTACAGTTCTTGAGTAGTTAGAAGTCTATCATTAATGATGCTTTATTCCATTTTAGCTTTATCAAAAGATCTGTGCAGTTACAGCAATTATTAAATCCTCGTTCTGTGACACATAGTAATAATCTTTCTAAATTCAGTACTGACTGACTCCCCTTTCTGTGGTTTCCCATAAAAGCCAATACAGGGCAGTAGCAAAACACAAATTCAAATTATTTCCATAAGGCACCTTGTATTCTTGATTAAGGATGGCAGCTGCAATGATTTTAATACAATTTTCAAGCACATATGTAAGTGAAGAAGAATCATAAAATAACACCATTTTCTTGAAAAGGGCATGTTTATCTGCCTTTAAAATAAATGTCAGATTGCTTTTTGTATCTTTAGTTTCTAAGGTATTCCTAGTCAGGATAAGCCGGGAATATTTTTGACCTCACCTATTCATGTATAATGTTAGAAACAAAGCAGTTGCTGTATTCTCTAAAACCAGTGGCTTATTCAGTACATGCTAGAGCAGCCCTCCAGCTTCAAAGGAAGGTGCATGAACCCCAAAAATAAACAGATGTGGAATTAATCATTCACAAAAGAAAATCCCCCTCCAATCCGACCTGTAATAGCTCTGAAAAAAAAAAAAAGCTCGAAGTCATCAGTTCACCATCCGCTCCAAGGTTTTTATAATTCAACTATTGCTACTGATACCAAACACTGTTTTATGTAACACTCAGTTGAATACAGCAATTGAAATATATTTCAAATCTCTGTACTGAATTATTAGCCTACACTTTAAAGAGAATGCTTAGAAGAGACACTGTAGCAAAGCCCACTAGAGAGCGTCTGGCATTTTCTGTGTAATGATGTTTTACCTGATCATTACCAGCTGAAGCGGAGAGCCACACCTCAGGGTGCCTGTGTGAACTCACCGGGTGCCTGCTCACCAGCACATGGGTTTGCAGACTGTAGGGAGCTCCATGGGTACACACCAAAGCTAAAGCTTTGTCCATTAGAGATGTGTGTAAATAGGGGAACCCACATCCACAGAAGAGGCTGTTCACGCTTGTAACCAACACCAGCTGTGAGAGAGGAAATGTGTGCCTGGACTTGTGAATCCGTATATGTGCATGTCTGTGTGATTTTAATGGTTTGAATTATAGAACTGCATTTAGAAATTTGTAGGTGTTCCTTAACATTTAAGCATCTACTATTCTAGTTTATCTGTTGTATTGCTGATGTTGATCCTAAATATATAGTTCACTGATTTCTCATTAATTATGTCTTTAATAAATCAGCAAACCACTTCAATCTTGATGTGGTTCCATAGGAAGCGAGCAGAGGTTTTTTTATGACACTCCCAACATTTCATAGCATAATGATTAAAAAACTTTGTTTGAGGTTTCCAATATGAATGGATACATTGAGCTACAGAATTCTCATTTTCTATAGCTTAATACTGTGACTATTCTTTTTCACATATCAAGCATCACATTTCACAGCTCTGGGCTGGAATTAAGGAATTTTCAGTATGGGACATAACTATGAAAAATTCATATTCAATTTCACTGAACTGAGCTAAGTATTATCAGTTTTCTTCTCAATTTCCAAGTGAAACTTCTGCTTGTTACTAGAGAAAGCTCTTCCAAATTTGAAGGCCGTGGAAAGTGTGTGCATGTTTACAAAGTATTTGAATTTTTTAAAAAAATATAAAAAAAGTCTACAAATATACAGATTACTACCCATTTTCAAGTAACAGTCACGGCTACTATGCACTAACCTCCCTGTGCACGTCTTCAAAACAGGAGAAGAACTTGTCAATATAGAACAGTGCAAAATACTTTCAAAGCAGTGATCTCAACATACTGCACTAGAGATACGCTACACCACCAACTTCCCTGTTCTGCTGGTTCTGAATCCCGACTCTCCAATTGCTTTATCAAACAAATACTGCTCTTGATGCACTAGACAAGGCTTTTAGGATATCAGTAAACTGCAACTCTAAGAGGCAGCTGTGGCTTCTGTTTCGGCTGGTTTCCCATGGAAAGTAAGAGATGCACACATATAGATTAATATGAGGAGTAAAAATGTTACCTACCTTGCAGAGCTGAAAGGCTAGCTTAATTACTGTTTCTGCAACAGAGGGGCCAAAAGCCAGACCATCAGATTCAAACTCTTCAACTTGGTGGTTCAGGGACAACTTTACTTTGAACAACTCTGAAAATTTATGTCTCTTATGCATTAAAAATATCTTTTAGCTATTGCAGAGCTTTGAAAAAGCATTAAAGTTTTTGCTAAAGCAGAAATTCAGTAAGAGCTGGCCTGAGGATATGGACTCAAAATCTAGTACCGTAAATCCAAATCAAACATTGCCTCCACATTTTGCTTTCAAAACAGGTACCAAATTCTCATTCCTTTCTTGCAAACAGTCCCAAACAGGGCTTTCCAGCCATAGACCTGTGCTCTGTGGAGAATGCCAACAAACCAGCAGTTGACAAGTTCAAACAAAAGCAGCTACATTTCCAACGTTAGGTTACAATAGGCACAAGGCAGCTATAGCAGATGATAAACACCGAACCAGAAGCTACAGACACAATTCCATAACATGCACTGACAAAGCCAGAAGAAAATCCATTCATCTAGAAAACTTTTCTTAAGTTGAGAAAGTGATAGGTAGCTTTTAATCATTAGGAAATTATCATTCACTTGCAGTGACAGACTTGGTGAAGAGGAGTGTTCTGACAGGACCTGCTGTTTCTCTTCTTTTACATCCAATGGGTCTCCTTTTTTAAGGTCTGTCTGAAGATGCGCTTCTCACCTGGTAAGCCCCAATCTTTTCCAATATAGTCAAATGCTCATTCCCCACCTGTCCCAATATGAATGTGTCTCGTTCAGAAGCTAGAGCTTTCCTGAGTTTACCACCACTGGCTGCTGTACAAGATACTTGAGAGATTCACAATACCAATAGTCAAGATAAAGGAAATGTAGCAAGGAAAAGGGTTGGAGAATCATCCAATTTGAATTTGTCCCTTCAACAGACAATGTCACCATATTCCAAATTGGTGGTTTAAAAATGAAAAGTTTCATAACTAGTTATAAACTTGTTATTGCCAGTAAAGGACCAACCAAACCAAACCCACAGAAAAGGTAACTTTTTTGGTAGTTCATTTTTACTATCTTTTCTCTCACCAAGAACAAAACAAGGTTTTTTACCAACTTCTTATATTCTGTATCTGCATTTCCTTTAGTAATCAGCACATAAAGTAGCAATATACTCAGCCTTCTATGACTGCTTACCATCCTTTGCAGTTCTCCAAGTATGCAGATTTCAGTTACTATAAAAATAACTGAAGTATCAAAACACTGTTTGCAAACAAAATGGAAAAGCTATAACGAACTACTCACCAGATTCTCTTCAAACCATTCCCGTATACACACTGCTGTGGCCCCTGGAATTTGATTTCGCAGTGCTTCCTTCTCTTGAGGATCCTCTAGCATTTCCAATGCCATCTTTAGATCTTCCAGGAGATGCAAGATTTGAAATGTGCCCAAGTATACTGATGGAGCAGGTGACACAATATCATAACCACCATTAGCATACTCTGTAGCTGACTTTGTACCTAAAACAAGTAAAACCAGGAAAGACAATAATGTTCTATAATTGTTTTGTAAGTGACAAATATGTAGGTACCACACACTACAACATTTGGACTTCAGATGCTAACTGACAAGTATCAGTATTTCAGGCTTAGAAATACTTGAGTTAGTCCCTAGATAAGTAACAAACACTGGAAAATTAAATGTGAGGTATGTACATGCATATTAAAAAAGAATTTTGACATACAAAACATCTGCAATGTTGGTTAAATTTCGAATGCCAAAACCTTATCACAAATCACCTGTAATTCTCCATGGTTACCATGAGATGTCACTAACTTCTCAGCTACATAGAAGTCACCACACGGAGCAGTGTTAAGCAACATAAGAAAGATTGATGCAGTCTTTGACAAGAAACTTAGATGAAAATAGATCATGTTACTAGAAGCAGAAAAATATGTGACCTTGATCAGCTTTAAAACCCTCCCACAGGGAACAAACCCCAACAAGTTAGCAATAAAAATGACCAATGAAACTTTGCTAGCTCTCTACATTACAAAAAGCTCTCTAAATTAAATCTCCCTCCTGCCAGCCCTCCAGCACCAGTATTATTTTCCTCAAGAACAATAAGCACAGCAACAAACATATCTCACTTGATGGAAGAATTATAAATAATACAAATTCCAACATCTCTGTATCTTTTTGTCTTAATACCCTGTGTTTCAATGAGATGCACACTAAAATAAGCGATCTTTCTCAGTCCTGATTTTCAGACCTTGATTTCATGTAATATCCCTTTGTTTCTTTAAGAACTAGTCAGATGGAAAACTTCTATTTGCTTTACTTTTTACAGTTCTTATTTGCAATTCATTGCCTCTTGTACACGACAGATTGTATTCATGTTATGTCTTCATTCCTGTCTCTCTGGCATAAGCTACGACATTTTCCCCCTTTATTTGACTTCATGGGAGATGATTTTTTAGGCTTTTGATCATTTGTATTGTACTCCTCTCAGTTCTTCCATTTTGTAACATACTTTACACGTGTATGTTGGATCCACATAGCACATAATATTCCTTAGAAGACCGTATCATTGATCTGCACAAGCGGATTATAACAATCTCCTATACTACTCTTCATTTTACTCCTGTGCTTAACATCATTTACATCTTAGTTACAAAAGGAATAGAAATCTTCACTGGGCCTTTGAAAATTATTTTCTAAAGTTTTTTTTTTCCAAAGCAGATGTATCTAATTTGAAATCCAGATGTATAATCAATTTAAATTTTCTTCTTGAATGCGCACTACTTTGCGCATTGATCAATGAAGTTTGCCTGCTATAGTTATTTGTCTACCATGATTTGGACATTACAAACAATGTTTGAACCGAATGTTTCATTTTACATATAGCCTGATATACAACTAATACCTAAATACAACTCATGAATACACTGACACTCTAGGTCCTAGTACACTGAAGTGCCTTCTGCACCTAGATTAGCTTTTAACCAAAATGCTAACTATCATTTAATCCCAACATTGTTTCCCAACTCAATCAGTTTTTGATCTAAGACAATATTTTGTCTCTCATTTTGTGAATGCTTAACTTTACTCAAAGCTTTCGGTAAAATTCTAAATAATATTAACAAGGTTTTCTTCAATCACTGCTTTAATGACACAAAGAACTCTACCAGATCAATTATCTTTGCAAAACATTGTGTGGTTTGAATTCTACTGTATGAGGTACACATTTTTTTGTTTGACCATTTTAAACAATGCAAACCATCCCTAGAAATTTCTGAAGTTTTTCAAGGCTCAGTAGTAGGGATTTTTTTTTTTTTTTTTTTTAAAGCAACACTCTTATTTTCACTACTGGAATATTTCATATAGTCTTAACCTCTTTTCAAACTCAGAATATTCCCTGTTTGGTCCTGTTGACTTCCACTGTTTATGAGTTTATTTTTATACCTCAAGTGTGAGATCTCATCTTAATTTCTGGCTAAGACCATGCCCAAGATAAAGTTTCTTCAATATCCGGTGCTACAAAGACTGCTACACAAGACAACTTCACCTCATAAATCAACCCTGTCTTCCTGAATTATTTCCTTTTGAGGAGAGGATCAACTAACTGTTTTGCTGGATTTGAGTGTTCTAACCACTGAAAGATATTTTCTTGTGTATTTCTATACACTTAGCTACTTACGCCAGCTTAGTTGTTTCTGTTTATTTGCTTCCTAATGCAGATTAATATTAAACGGCAGCAACTAAAAATAGCAAATTCCAAATTGTGTAAGAGCCATTTGGATCACATAGCCTCTTAAATCTCTTCATTCAGCCAAAGCGGCTCACTACTTACTTTCTAAAAGAGATATACACACAAACTGAAATCTGGCACTGTCGTCTTAAGCAGCATTGATGACACTTTTAAAGATGTGGCTTCCTTGATTATTGCGATATTAGGACTTTTAAACTAGTTTTCTCACTCTTTCTTTTGGAAAACTCCATGCTAAATTTTTCTGTATTTTTGCTTAGCAAGTACTTTTCACACCACAAAAGCAGACCGGATACAAAGTTATTTCATAACCAGCTTTGGTATCTACCCCTTCAATGAACTGACAATTTAAATAGATATGGAACGGGAAAAACATAATGGAGCATTCTGCTACAGCATTCTTCATGTTATTTGTATGAATATTTTTATATACAGACAAGAGAGAAACAAACAAAAATCCACACAATCCAAAACAAAACCACACAGACTTTCACGCCCACAACCACATACTTCACATGTGAAATAAAAGCCATAATCCTTAAGCTAAATCAAGATTTAAAACCACCATTCAGAAGTTCACTTAATTATACTAGGTAGTTAGTTTATACAGCCAAATATACAGCCATACCATACATACCACTGTAACTTTAAGACAGTATTGGTGACTTCTTCCCTCACCAGTCTAAATGCCTCACTATGTATCACATCTTGCCTTGATCCTTAGATTATCGGGGCTACAACATTACTGGTAACATCTGCCTTCTATAGAAAATAATTTTAAACTCTGTAGGAAAATTCAGTGACAGTGAAATTCACACATTTTGGCATGCCTTTATTTGATTTGCCTCTATCAAAACACTAGGAAAAAAACATATACACACGCTCTCTTATCGTGGCAAGTGAAAGAACTGTCACCCTGAAGAAACTCAGTTCTATAAAGGTAAAAATTCTCACATGCTGGAGCACAGGCAAGGCCAGCCAAGAATTCTAGGTTATGTGATTTCCTGAGACTGGGCACACTCCATATGCATGCTGCAGTTATCCCAAGCTCTTCAACTGACTGTTCACTGAGCATCCTCAAAGTCTCACATTTTACACAGCAGAAGGTCATAATTTCTCAGAACTCTCAAGAACTGGGTCCATGCGTAAGGCACACATGCTGAGCTTCTATCGTTGTAATCTATCTAAGG